TATTGTTTAAGATCACATGCATGTAGGTGGCGCTAGCGTCAGGGTTTGGTATTAAAACATAACCTTATTTTATTCTGCCATTTATTTACATAGCGATTTCAGTTTTAATAAGTTAATTAGGACATTTAAAACGTTTGGGCACTTTTATTAAAACTTTATAGTATGCCTTACAATTGCTGTGTGCCACAATGCAATTCAGTTTCCAATAAAACTGACAATGTTAAGTTTCATAAATTCCCATTAAATTAAACTTTACAAAAACGATGGTTAATCGTTATCAGGTCTGAAAAAAATATTAGCAAGCACACAAAAATCTGTTCCAGGCACTTTTCAAATGAAAGTTATACCGTTACAAGTTTGGGTAAGTTAAAAAATACTTAGATCGCTTAAGATCCTTAAAAAACATGCAGTACCTACAGTAAATTTACGAAAAGAACGTTGGAGACTCCAATGAATGACTCTAGGAGGAGTAATAGATATAGAAAAATACTTTGTGCAGCAGTATTGCCACCAAACAAACAAAAAGACCAAACAGAAACAGAATTATTACAAACAGTTAAGAATGATACAAAAAAGTGTGGTTCAACAGAGACACCTGCTAACAAAAAAAAATCAGAGAATTTAAAAACATGTATTACAACTCAAACTGTGATAACACGGAATAAACGTCAATTCATTTTGAATGACTTTTTGTCAGAAGAAACATTTTGCTGGTTTTTTTAAGAAAATTATTTACATTTTTCATTGAAGAGTTTGGAAAGTCATACATATTAAAATTCATAGTGCACTTTCAGTAAAAAATGAACTATTAATAACACTTATGAAATATAGACCTAATTTGTTTTATTCTACAATAAAGCATTTTTTTGCAGTAGACATTCAAACTGTCTGAAAAATATTTGTTAAGTGGACCTAGCATCTTTACACTTGCTTCAAAAAAAATTAACATTTGGAACATTGCAACAACTTGTGAAAACCAGTGCAAATTATCTGGACCGTACAACATATTCTATATAGTATGGCAATATCTAAAATACTAACAGCATGATCTGAAAAAGGTGAAATTATATATGTATCTGATATTTTTGGAGGCAGTATTTCAGATAGTAAAATTACAGTGCGGAACTTAGAACTTATTGAAGAAGGAGAATTTATTTTAGCGGTCAGGGGTTTTAGTATATAAGATCTTTTAGAGAAAAAAGGGAAAAATATACCTCCATTTAAAAAAGGAGCTCAGTTAACAGAAGAAATAATAAAAACAAGGACCGTTGCCAATCGTAGAATCATCGTTAAAAATATTATTCTTCTTCTTGTAGTTCCTTCTCCTAACGGAGGTTGCTTATCATCACAGCTATTCGTACCTTATTGGTGGCTGCTCTGAAAAGATCTACTGAGCTGCAACTATACCACTCTTTTAGGTTTAGCTAGGAAATTCTTCGTCTTCCTATGGATCTTTTACCCTAGATTTTACCTTGCATTACGAACCTTAATATCTCATATTTCGCACCTCTGGTAATGTGGCCTAAATATTCCAGCTTTCTTGTTTTGATGTGCTTTATCACCTCGAAATCCCTTTAAAGCCTTCTTAACACTGCATTTGTAACTCTTTAGGTCCATGGTATTTTCAAAATCCTTATAAAGCACCACATCTTAAATGACTCCAACTTCTTTATATTATCCACTTTTAGTGTCCAGCTGTCCATTCCATACAACAAAGTCGAGAACACGTAGCATCTTAAGGCTCTTACCCTCAGCTCCAGAGGAAGGTCTCGATTAACAAACATTGTTTTCATTTTTTTTAATGCTTGTCTTACAATAATTTCAATTCTTGTCCTTATTTCTCTACCTTGGTCATTGTTTTCATTTATCCAGGTTCCCAGATATTTGTAATTATTCACTCTTTCTACTTGTTTGCCCTCGATATCTAGCCTTCCTACTGTATGTTTCTTGGAAATAATCATATGTACGTGGTTTTCTTAACGTTCATTTGTAAAAGTCCATATTTGATACTGACTTGATGTAATCTATTTACTAAGCGTTGCAGTGCTTCTAGACTGTCTGCAAAAACAGCGGTGTCGTCTGCGAATCTTATGTTGTTCAAGATTTTTCCGTTTTGATATATTGTTGAAAATATTATAGGATTTTCAAAAAAATATAAAATACTGAAAGATAGAATTTCTTCTTAATTATTCTTATATATAAATGAAATAATTTATAACTGTTTTATGATTTGTAATTTTAAAAATAGCATAAGTAACACTTGCAAATTATTTTCCCATCTATAGATCTACCTATATTGATCAATTAAAATTTCTGGTAGGATAGCACTTATTTTTTTATTAGTTTTACGTATTATAATATTTGTGACTTGTTACTATTTTTTTATCAACTATAATTTGTTTTAAACTTGAAAAATATAATACTTAAACAAGATTTAATTTGCTTATTTCGATAGTTAACTATGAGACAGAAAATAAAAAACAAATTTTTAAATTAAAATATCCATTATGCAAAAATGTTCAAGCTAAATATTAAATAACTCACTTATTTCACAAATTTTAAACACTGTGAAACTATAGCTGAAAATCTGCAAAAATGTATTAAATGTATTGAGGAATAGTATGAGGTTATGATTTAATACCAAATGTGATCTATTCTGTATCATAATCTGTACACGCTAATAACCTGCGTGGTTAATGCGTCATATAAAAAAAACATACTTGGATCCAATCTAACTCGCAATTCCAAGTCCACAGTGTTAGCGGGAAAATAAAAATTTCTCCTTTAAATCTTGTCGTCACACTCAAATAAATAAATTATTTTTGATTTAATTCGTCTTTTTCTTCTTATGTGACGTCTTCTGCAGAAGGTTGGTGATCATCAAACAACATTTGCTTTGGTGCCACATGATCATGTTCATAGCTTCTGATATTTGATTAAATTCTTACAGTCCCTTAGTTGGTATTAGAAATAGATATACCAATTGAAGAGATTCTTGCAAAATAGTGGTAAGCCACAAAATAATAAAACCGAGATATTGATGTTTAAAGTTTTAAAAAAATCTAGAAAATATTGCTTTAAATGTAAAAACCTTAACGCTTGTTATTTAATTATGTTATTTATTAAATTCTATGTGCATTTATTATTTCACATAAAAAAACACATATTTACATAAAAAAAGATGTTTATTCGAAAAAAATGTGGCTTAACATGTTCTTTAATTAAAAAAATCGTAACACAAAAAAATAAACTAAGTTACAATTCCCACTATGTTTCTACAATTTCCACTTCTTCATTCACATAGTCAGAAGCTTCGTTTAACTGATTATAAAAAGTATGGTAGACTGTCGGAATATAAGGTAACAAGCTTTTTATATTTTCCAGTTTATTTTTCGCAATTTTCAGAGGCTCGTTATATTTCTTGAGAATGTTTGACAGCTCTATTGTTACAGGTCTGCCTTTCCTTAAGATATTATCTTCTTGATAGTCTCCATTGACAGTATGTTTGACAAAAATTGACCCCACTTTTTCTGATTTAAATTGAAAAGCTGTATATTTTTGCAAAATTTAAGCTCTGCTTGTCCGGAAAACGTGCATTTTTATTAATATTATTGAGAAGAGGTTCAAAACTGTAAAAATCATTTTGGGTCATCTGGGTAACAACAAAAGGATTTTTTTATTTGCTTTCGTAATAATATCTACCCAACCTTCTGGCGAATAAATAATGGGTGCACGGTTTCTCTGACGCTTCTCAATTTGAGCAAAATCTCGGTCTGATGGCATAACAGAATGACCACTAAACAGAAAGTGATGCGTTATTTGTTTAAATTTCTTTTCCCTGACTAACTGCAACCAAAAAGCTATTAACTGCCAATTCTTGTTCTGACCAGGACAGTTATCGGTAAAAACAACGAGTTCGTCATAATCTGACTTGTTCTTCAAAAATTTCATCACAACAGAAATAACCTCATCTGCTCCGCGCTTAGCTTGATCTTCGGTCCATAAGTACATGTGTCCTTTATCATTGGTACAGTCGTGAATCCCCAAGTTATAAAGCCACAGTTTTCTGCAGTAAAATGCAGGACCAGTGGTTAATTTTGGCAGCGGCATACTTTGCTGTAAGTCAAACGAGATTACCAATTTTGATTTGTTTGTAACACATTCATTTTTTTTCAGTTTTAGCAAAGTTTGCATTGCGTCAGCTCGAGCAATATGTACGTTTAAGAAAGTAGTTAGCTCTTTTTCTTGTTCTTCGTTATTAACGTCTTTTGATACCTGAATTTTAATAGTGGTCTCATCACAAGCCTTACACGTATCAGAACGAGGTAATTTAAACCCTATGTTTTAATGAGTACAAAATATTTTTCTGTATGCACTTTCTTTAACTTGCGTAATATTCATTTCTCTACACCATGGCACATAAAAATCTGTATATAGTCCTGTAATTGTCATATCACAGTTCAGATATTCTTTTTTTATATTTTTGGCTCTGCTATAGTGACTTTGGTATTTGGGAATGGATTCAATATGAGTTTTGACTGATTGAATCTGTTCTTCTGAATGTTTATTAGGTCTGTTTGTGTGCTTACCTCTCTTCTCAGGAATATGAACCATAGCCCCGAGTGACTTTATTTTAAAAATATTTTCAATTCTTCCACGAGATTTTTGAAGACCATGAATACTTAGGAATTCAGTCTTGCATACTTTAATTTCCATCTCCCCTACATTAACCAAATATTCAGCGGTAAATTTTCTTCTAGAAATGTTGCGTTTTTGTTTTTTCTTATACGATCTATTCTTATTTTTTACTCTGATACACCCAAAGAGATAGCTATTTTGAAGGTCGAATGAGCCCAACTCCCAAAATTTCTTAAATAAATGTTCATGATTACCTTGCAGTTTCTCCCTACATTTATTTTTATATTCACACGGTTAGCCAATTTTACGTGAACTAAAAATCGTCTTGGTTTTCTTCGAAGTATACTGCTGTCCAGAATTACGGCTTCTTTTTCTGTCATTTCGATCATAGTGTTCCTCATTTCTTTGTCTCCATCTTGTTGGTTTTCTCTTCTCTGGATTTACCTCCTTATCTTCAAAAAGCCTTGGTATTGGTTCCTGCAATTCATCCTAAAATACAACAAAAAATGACTGCATTAGACTCTAGAATTTGCGAATAATTTCAGAATTTTTATATCAACAACTCGATAAGCCACATGGCATACCATATTTTTCCATGTAATATACACGAAATATTTTTGTACAAAAACATGGTAAGCCAAAAAATCAGAAAAAAAGCTTACCTCGCTAGATTGAGACGAAAAATCATCGCTACTGGGCCTAAAGTCTTTATCTGCTACACTATCATCACTATCATCAATAAAATTTACATTTAAAGTGCTATTTTCGCTTAAAACCGCTCTTAATTCAGCACGTGCACCTGATGTCGACGCCATTTTGATGTGGCTTACCACGGTTTACGCGAAAAAGTGAACAGAAACGGACGATTGCATAAACACGATTCATCAATAACTCCGCCATCTATTGCAATAATTACCAAATATTTTTTGTGTGGCTTAACATATGTTTCTTTAAATACGTAATGCAATAAAATAGAATTCTGTAAAATTGTGGCTTACCATTATGTTGCAATAAGGTCTCCAATTTTATTCTTCACTAGAAATTTTTTTATTACTTTTAATAATCTTTTCTTACATATATATTTAATATTGTATAGTCATTATAATGCGCCATAGTCACTAATGGATAATCAAAAAGCATACCCAATGTAGTCCTACATCACTTTGAAATATACGGTAGGATGGATTAAATCTCAATATCTCTGTATTCCACCTGATCGAATATTCTAAAGCTAGGTACTCGATCCATGTACTTTAGGTAATGTTTGAATGGAATACAAATGAGTTAAGCCGTTAGCTGTTTTTGTTCGTCTTATAGAAACTTCAGCGTTAACCTAAATATTTAACTACAGTTAATGGGGGTATTATAAGATTAACTTTATAAAATTATAAAATACAGATAAAAAATAAATACAGAGTGCACAGTAATAGGATTTGCTCAAGTCATTGTTTTGAGTTTGATCTAAGAATAAATTACTAAAAACTGTTATTTTTTACACTTCCACAAAATTTTGTACAATTTATTTTTATTTGAATTATATCTATATTTTTTAATTTATTAATTCATATATTATATTATAATAAAGATAATGCCTTTATTCAAATCATGAATGTGTTGCTTGTGTGAGTCCATTTCAAATAGGTAAAGAAATAATAAATAAGACTTACTCACAATCAATTTAATTTAACTATTCAGACGACCGGTTTCGCTTTCTACAATATGCAAAGCATCTTCAGGTCTCGATACAAAGTTAAATAAATGCTGAAATGATAAAAACCCATATTAGGGTGTTGTCTGATAAAGATAAACAAATTAGATGTTATAAATTACAATAATTATGCCAATATTACATGTCTGTGGTTTTTTCAAAATGAATAAAAATGAATAAAAAGTTATAAAAAGTTTAAACAGACAAGGTAAGACCGGTACTCTATTAATTGATGGATGGTAGAACATGGTTGAAACTATTATGTATTGTTCAATGGAGAACTTAAGTCTGCTATTGTAGTTGTTTGACAGTAAACGGGAAGTTCTTGAGGAGATAGATTTGATCCAATGAAGTAGAGATAGGTGTGTGATTGTTTGTTAAATGAAAGTGGTGTTATATACCATTGTATTATTTAAAAGTTATTTATACTTATTCGAGAGATATATTTATGAAATGTGTAGTATTTATTGACTAGGGGAGGATGGGGCATCATGGACCATGGGGGTAATGTAAACCACATCGGTTATTTTGTTTAAAATTGGCAACACTGCATCTAGTAACTACTACAAATATGCGTAGACATCTTATCTACTTTTAGTATGAGTTTGAACGCACGGGGAGTACGTTCAGACGTGTTATAATTAAAAACACGTGTTTCGTCGCTGCTGATCTAAGGAATTTACTACTTTTGACTAAAGATTTCTCGGTAAGTAGACATGATTATTTTAACTTTTTGATACTGTGGTGTTGCTTGTAAAATGTGCTTTTAATAATTAAGATTTGCTTTTGATACGTTGTGAACTGGTACGTTAATTTCCATATTTTGAATGTGTACTACGCATGGGGCAACGTGGACTAGGAGTGGTTCACATTGCCCCATTATATTTTCTTGACACTTTTTTAATTATATGCTTCTTTTGCAGTTAGAAATGGTACGAAATTATGTGAGGAAAACTGAGCAACAATCCTGGTCTCTTGTTGCCTTGAAGAATGCTATCCGGACAGTTAAAGCTGGGGAGATGGGCTATTTAAAAGCTAGTAAAGTTTATGGTATCCCGAAAGCAACGTTAATTCGCAGATGCAAAGAAAAAGTAACAAGAATTTCTCCTGACGAAAAGGGTCTAGGTTTCTACAAAACGGTTTTTACCAAGGAACAGGAAGAAGAATTGTATAATTATATCTTAGATATGGAGAAGCGTTTATACGGAATTACTTTGCTTGATCTTCGTCACCTAGCTTTCCAGTTAGCCGAAAAAAATAACATAGACCATCCATATAATAAAACAAACAAACTTGCAGGTTTAGATTGGGCGTACGGATTTCGAAAACGGCACCCAGGGCTTTCATTACGTAAACCCGAATCAACATCTGCTGCAAGAGCTGAAGCTTTTAATCGTTACAATGTAAAACAATTTTTTGATCTGTATAAAGCTACTTTGGATTCTAAACATGTCAATCCAACGCGTGTTTTTAACTGTGACGAAACAGGTCTAGGTACAGTCCCCAAATGTAATAGTAAAATCTTGGCGCATAAAGGACGGAAACAAGTTGGACGGCTTACTTCTGCTGATAGAAGTGGAATAACAACAGCCGTTATTTGCATGTCATCATCAGGAATCTTCATACCGCCGATGTTAATCTTTGCAAGAAAGAGAATGAAAGTCGAACTCCAAGCTGGTGCACCTCCAGGTTCAATATTCGCCTGTAGCGATAGTGGCTGGATAAATAGTGAACTCTTTTTAATATGGTTTCAACATTTTCTTCAACAAACGAAACCAAGTGAAGACGATCCGATCTTATTGATTTTGGATGGACACAGCAGCCATACAAAAAACATAGAAGTAATTAATTTGGCTAGGGAAAAACATGTACATATCATTTGTTTGCCTCCACATTCCACCCATCGAATGCAGCCAACCGATGTTGGTGTCATGGCTCCTTTAGCACGATATTATGATATGGCATTAGAAAAGTTTCTTAATAACAACCCAGGCAGAGTGGTAACAGCTTTCCAAATCTCTAAAATTTTTGGTGAGGCTTTCTTACAAGCTGCAACACCTTTGACTGCTATTAACGCTTTTAAAAAATGTGGGATAGTACCTTATGATCCCAATATATTTACAGACCTCGATTTTGCACCATCTGCTACGACTGAAAGAGATTTGGAGAATAATAGTCTACCAGTGTCAAGTCAAGATGAGGCAATTCCTTCAACTTCAACTGCAGAGCCTCACTTAAGTCAAGATGAGGTAATTGCTTCAACCTCAGTTGCAAAGCTTCATACTGGTAACGATTTTCAATTGACAATTTCCCCTGCACACAATAGAGCAACAACTTCATTTGGAGCAAACAGCCCTAAAGACATTCGTCCTCTGCCAAAGAGAAGTAAATTAATGGAACCAAAGAGGAAATCTAAAAAAGGTAAAACGGCTGTACTGACATCTAGTCCGTATAAGCTAGAATTAGAACTTGAAATAAACACGAAGGAGGCAATAGAAACAATGAAAAAGGAAAAAGCTAAGAAAAAAATAAATGATGATAAGCACGAAGATAGTGAAAGAAGTAACAAAAAAATAAAAGTTTGTCCTTCCAAAGATGGTAAGGGAAAGAAAAAAAATAAATGTAACCATCAAGTACAAGATGATGGCAATGGTGAAGATGCTGAATGTTTTTACTGTAACGAGTGGTTCTCCTCATCAGCCAATGAAGAAGGATGGGTACGTTGCTCGGCCTGTCTGAAATGGGCTCATGAAGCATGTGCGGGAATAGATCCAGAAGATGATGAAGAATTTCAGTGTGAATTTTGTATTTCTGAATAAATATAACATGTGTCTATTTTTACTAATGTTCTGTTACCGGTTTTCTAAGTATTTTTAATAAAAAAATTCTTTTTACTTGATTTTATTTACCAAACATAGCCATTAGATAATGAAATAGTGTGACTTTCCTCAGTAGTTCACATTGCCCCACCCTATGGGGCAATGTGAACTTTTGACATATAGTCAGTTGTCATTTTTTTGTTGAAAATACGTTAAATAAATTATGTTTCAATTGCAACTAAATGACAGTTAAATGTTTAATGAACGTCCCTAATTAATTAAACAAAACAAAATCATTTCTGGTTTAACAGTATGTGGATATCTCCCTTGGATAACCATCCAAGCACAATGCCCCATCCTCCCTAATTGTTTTATGAAGGTGACAGTTTTATGACAATGAAAAATATACTCAATACTTCAATTTTATAACAAACTGTGGATCTTACCTGGTCTGTTTAAACTTTTTATAACTTTTTATATATTTTTATTCATTTTGAAAAAACCACAGACATTTAATATTGGCATAATTATTGTAATTTATAACATCTAATTTGTTTATCTTTATTAGACAACACCCTAATATGGGTTTGTATTATTTTAGCATTTATTTAACTTTGTATCGAGACCTGAAGATGCTTTGCATATTGTAGAAAGCGAAACCGGTCGTCTGAATAGTTAAATTAAATTGATTGTGAGTAAGTTTTATTTACCATTTCTTTACCTATAATGCCTCTATTTTGAATATGGAGAATTTTATCTTGGTCATTGAAAGAATGATTATGATTTGTGTTATAGTATCGCCACTTTTTACATTAAATGATTCGGTGAGAGGAAAAAGTGGATATTTATGTCCATAAATATAATATATAATAATAATTTAGAAATTGAATGTTTTGCTGAAATAACGTTGTAAACGCAAATCACATTTTGTCAATAAATTGAAAAAAAAACACCTTATAATTGATTATTTTGAAAAAAATAAATATTTATGAGCGTAATATGATATACTATAGGATGCATAACATTAATATCAACAAAAATAACCTTAGATAATACAAAACAAACATTTGTGGACGTACTTTACTATATTTTAATAAAATAACGTGTTAAATCACCTTCGGTTAAAAAGTTGTTTTAGAAATAAAAAATATTATTCACTCTTAAGATTTAGAATTAGAAATACCCCCACCAAGCATGGAAGAAATTACGCATGCCATAAAAACGCTTAAAAACGATAAATGCCCTGGTCTGAACAATATTGATATCTGGTATTTTGCATTCGCTCTAC